CAGTAAAAGTGCAAGTACCTACTTAGGAATCTTTGTCCATTAGAACTTTGTCTAGAAGCTAAAATGTGGACCAGTTTCTCTGATCTGTTAGGGCATTAGGAAAAAAAAATTATGGAAAGTACCATATTATGCTTCCCAGCTATCTTCCAGTTTTTAAGCTTATATTGAGATAGAAGATTTCAGTTGTTTCCATTTTGGATTAAGTTTGTTTAGGAATTAGTTTAGTTGCTACTGCATGGAGTCAGAAAATGGGAGAGGTTTATGAGCTAGGTCCCTGAGCTAGTTGTCTGAATTTCTTTACTCTTCTGGGGTGATAGGCTGCTCACAGGGCAGTTGTAAATGTTGTAGCTGTTTCTAGAAATTGCAATTTGGTCCATCACTTTGATCAAATACTCCCTCTGGAATGTAAGACCTATGCTTTGTTTTCTATTTTAGAGAAATTGGGAGGGGGGGGAGGTCTTATGAAGGCCTTGTTTTAAAAAAGAAGAAAAACTAATGTCACATGCATTTGAGGGCTGTTATTTTGTCTGTTTTGATCTTAATTTGTCTAAATAGAACATTTTGTCTTTATTCTTGAGTTACCTAAAGCTGTTTGCTCTTAATTCTTTGGGACTTAAACCTGTGTTTTTCTGGACTCTTTGGTAATTTGTTTCTCTGTCCTTGTCTGTGATTGACCATCATTTCTCCCTGTTGGATAATAGAAGGTGTTAGTTGAAATATACTTTTATTATGTAGGTTGATGTTGCAGCAGGTCTAATAGTACATTATCAATGGCAGTAAACAGGAGGAGGGCACTGAGGAGAAAGAGCACTGTAGTGGGATTTCCAGTGCCATTGAAGTGCATAGCTTTACTATTCAATTAAAGGACATAGAAGCATTTCTCTCTAATGTTGCTATAATATTCAGATTACCTTATTTTTTATTCGCTGACCTGTCATGAGATCCTGAGGTGGTGGCAGGGAGAGAGGAGTTGAGTAGCTTTCATACCAAATGAGCTTTCATACCAACTGAGGTGGACAAAGATTTGCTGTTTTCTTATGATAACTTCAGAAGTATTGCAAGCAGCATAAAAATCATGAAACATTTATATATTTTCAATTTTTTTTAATACATTTGGTATTTCTGGGTATCCTTTTCTGCTTGAAACAGTGTTTCACAATGCCTGTTTCCTTTTGCCTTCATGCAGAAAGCTGTTCATAAGATTACACTGGCGGGTCCTAATTATTATGTTAATTTCATTTGGAGCAAAATGCAGATATCACAAGTGCTCTGTTTACTTGCTTAGTCATAAAATGTTGAAAACCAGTTGTCAATAAGGAATCTTATTGCCATTTCAAATGAAAGCCATTGAAACCAGGTGCAATTCCTTCTATCTATGATGGTGTAATTCACTGTATTGTTTTAGCTTAGGCTAAATCTGCATAAGGATCTTTGGGCAATAACAAGAGATTAAAGCAGATCTCCAAAGCAGAGCCCGAGTAAGTTGTTGGTTTGTTGCACAACTGTGTACTTTAGAAAGGAATGGAATGAGTTCTGGGAAAGGGGTGGCTGGAATCTTGCACCACCTACGTTTACTTTGAAGATGCTAAAAGTGGAGGTGTTCTTGCCTCTTCTTTTAGAGGCTGGGGGAGTTGTATATTTTATTAAATATTTTCTGCATCTTCTGATTCATGTTGGTAGTTCTTGCAATGTCCTGAAAAGGCAGGCAAAAGGAATTTTAGTTTAACTTTTCCTCTCCCTCCCCCTTGCATCTGCGTTATGAGGCAGAAAAAGCATTTTCAGTTAAGGATTCAGTTCAGATCTTGACTGTTTTATCTCTTTGCACTGAAGTCTGGTGTTGCAGAAGCTATTTATAGCTTCTTCAATTTATTTATAAGTTGAAGATATAAAAGTGTGAGAGTTATTTCTTGTCAAGGTTAGTAATTAAGCACAAGCCTGTAAATGGAGTGTTTAATCCCTTTGACAATAGCAGTAATTTTCTCAGATGGAAGGGATCACAAAAACATCTCTGACTTTTTAATCTGTGTTATAGGCAGCACTCACCTGAATTACTGGAAGACCCTCCTATTTCTGTTCCACACAATATGCTGTTTTGTTGCCAGTGTTCAGCTCAGTGTCAAAAATGAGAGTTATGGTCACTATAGCTGGGCCATAATGCAGATTAATGTTCTAGTTGAAAAGTTGAATGTAATGGGATATAGAAGTCCCAGAGAATAGTGAGCATGAAGTATTGTAGGCTGTTGCCCAGTAGCACAAATTCAGTGAGAATGTTCTAAGAGTCCTCTTACAGTAAAACCTTTTCCTTTATTGCATGTGATGTGCTTCATGTACCCAAGTACCTCTCTATTCCTGGGCATTTCACATCCAGCAAGTGATTTAATTTTACTTCTGAGTACTCTTAAGAGATAAACCTGACACACTGGTTTGTTAATCTTTGTTTCACAGAGCTTAAACTATAGCACTGTTCAGTTTCTGGTCTGTGGGCAGCTGAAAATCTCCTCAGTGTTGTATTCCCTTGATTTTCTGCTGTGCAGAAAGTCATACATTTGTCTGTTCTGTGCTTGTGTTTTGTCCTTGAGGAAACTGGAACTGATGGTGAACTGAAATAGCTGTCAGGCTGGAGCTCTTCCCCCAGCTGCCCTTGGGGAATGGTATATCACAATATGGCTGTTCTTGTAACATTTTAGAAGCTCCTCCAAGACTGCCAGCTTTAGTGAGAACTTCATGGTCAAGTTTCATCTGTGTTAACAAAGATACTGCTTCCTGTTGCAACACTGCTGAGAGAACAAAACTGTGCTTTTAGGATTAAGTGTGAATCATGAACACAAAATAAAAAGACTTGAGGGATGCTATATAAAAGGGATTAATTCTGTATTTGTTGTTAAGGGCAGTAGCTCTATTTTAAAGTCTATATTGCATCTCTATTAAATGTTGTCCCTGCTCAATAAACCTTTTGAGTATGTGTTGGAATCTGAAGCATGTGCTTAACTGCTTTGCTGAATTGGGGCCTTCGTTACCAGATTGCAGGTGTATGTTAGCTTAAGTATTTAAGGAAAAAAATAACTGTAAAACAATGCTTACTTTGTTCTGTTCAGTGTGTTGTATTAATGGAAAACATCAGAAATGCTATGTTGTTGCTATGCTGTCCCAAATGGACTTAATATAGTTAATGGCATGAATGTTCTGTATGAGATATGGTCTGGTTAAGAATTGACATGCAGTGGTGAAATAAAAATTCAAAAATTGAAAGTGAGATTCTATTTTGGGGTGCATAATATTATTGCAGAATGTGGCTTTCAAATATTTTCCTGTTTAAAAGTGTGTTTCAATTACATTTTTGAAAATTCTTAGGTGGATATTAGAGCATTTATTATACATGTGCAATAGCTGGGGCTCTGTAAACATAACCATAATAAACTGCTCTGTATACAAGGGTTTAATAACATAGTCATAAAAGTGTATTTTACACATAAAAGTGGTGTACTGGTCTGCCAGAAAGCTTGTGCTTTAAAAATAGATATCATTATTTAAAGAGAGTGCTTAAAAAGGAAATGCAAGAAAAGGTGGGCTGTGCCTAGGTCATTCCTGATAAATATTTGATCAATATGTTCTTTAATAAATAAATAACGCCCTACTTAGCTAGAAAAGGTAGCTCAGTGCAGGGTTAATCTAGTATTCCTCAAGCCTGAACTTGCGCTTCATGTCTGTGGCTGCATAAAATGTTCATACATATAATGAAGATGGCTTTCCATGCAGAAAGTAAACCTGCACTGTGTAAAACACAGCAGTGTCACTGGGGTTTGTTTTGTGGCACTGCCTCTGAGGCTTCCATAGCCCAAGACACCTTTGGCACATGGAAATCCTTTGTCATCTGTCACAAATATGGGCCTGTGTCTTGCTGTAGGAATTGTACATATTTTCTTCTCCACCAACACAAAAATAGCTGTAGCTATGTTGTGCTCAGTGAGACCACCAGATTTTTGAGACACATCCCTCTGTTTAAAATCCTGGACTCTGATGTGAAATAGGAGAGAAGATAGATTCTGAATTACTAGAAATGCTCTGAAATCTTGGAGATTTTGATGGAGAGGCTGAGAAGTACTTGCTGCTCTAACCAGTGTATCTTCTGACCAAGGCAAAAGTGACAATTCTAGATTCAGTTGGCTTGTATGTCTTTTAGCTCTGTGATTCTTTAGGACAAGTTTGAAATGACACGAGGGGTTTCTTTCCACCTTTACACTTACATTAATATGATTTACAAATAACCAACACATTTGTGCTGTGGTCTGGAGTAACAATATTTAAATTTAGTAGAAAGTTTTGGTGTTTATTAAATTATGGGTTTAAATCATTGGGTTTGTGACTTTTTACATTGAAGTTCAAAATTAATATTGTGTGTTGTGAGAAACATATTTAGGAGATATATGTCCTTGTATTTTCATTCAAGAGTTGACCTTGGGTGGATTCATAGGTGAGAGAGTAGATATTCTGCAGATTTCTTTTTGTCTCTGCTGGATATAAGCTGAAATCTGTCAGCGATATTTTGTGTAGCAAGGTGTGTGAAATCAAATGGGGAATATAGGCCCTTGAAAATAAGAGAAAAACATAGCTGAAAAATGCAAATAATGTAAACAATATTTACATAAGCATTTTTATCTATTGTAAATTAAGGCTTAATTTCCAGGGTATGGGTACTGAATCCGAACAAAATTGTGGGAGTCTCATTTCATCAATGTCTTTTTCCTATGTTTCAGCTGTATTGTCAAGAAATAGAAAGGAATTAGCTTCTAGCAATGAAGCATGTAAATGAAAGAATTACCTTTTTCTTTTTTTACTTGCTTTTCATCCCTTGCCTAGTACTCTTAAAAACACTGAGGATTTTGGATGTGTTTGACTGTTAACCTATTTGTATTTAGCAGGCATGAACCGTTGCCATTGTGCTGTTCCATAAACATTGGGAGGATAAGCAAGTTACTTGTAATTTTCTGTTGTGTTCCCAGGGACGTCAGAGATGGCTTCAGAAGAAGAAGCTTCTATTCTCATTATGGGAGAGATCGATCCCCTCACAAGAGGGACTCTCCTTTCTTCAGGGAATCGCCGGGGAGCCGGAGGGATTCTCCGCACAGCAGATCCGGCTCCAGTGTCAGCAGCAGGAGCTACTCTCCTGAAAGAAGCAAAGCCTATCCTTTCCACCAGCACAGCAGAAATATGTCATCTTTACATAAAAGAAATGTTTCTTCTCAGCAAGGTAATTCTGGATTAATGATGGGAACTGGTTAGTGAGGTGAAACTGCAAGTCACTGTATAAGCCTTTTTTCCTTACATGCTCTTTTTAAAATGGGAAAGGCTGACATTTTGTACTATGTGCTGTCTGCTCTGGTTGTTTCATTGTACTCTCTGTTCCCTTATGTATTTCATGTGGGAGATTGTAGGTGTTATTTTGGTATCAGGTCTAGACTGGCTGTAGGAGTTTCAGCTGCACAGCTTTTTCTAATATTTTATATTATTTTTAGCATCAGCTCCTGTTATTTCTTTATGTGCTTCATTCGATTTCCTGACAAGAAACTTTGCTTCATCTACAGCAGATGAAGACATTTCTTCCTGCAACCAGAATAAAACAGGGATTAAAAAAAAAGGAGAAGTGAAAGTACATACTTCTACTTGCTTAATTTTCTCCAAATTTTGCTAGGCTTTTGAAACTGACTGTTTTTTAGCAATTGCATTTCAATGTCAAAACCTTTCAGATCTTGCTCTCCTTGAAGAAATGTGAAGCATCTCAGTTGAGTCTATTCTGACTTTTTGAAAGCTTGGCTCTTCATGTTTCCCAGAAGTCTGATGAATCATCTGTTTTGAAAATATTTGAGGTTTCATATTTAAATTATTGGGGGGGGGGGGGCTACAACCTTAGCCACTCTGTTTGTACAGCTTATGTAAATTAATCCAATTTGATTTCCCATTCTGCAAAGGCCTTCTAGTGAACTGTGCAAACCTACTGTTCATTTTGGCAGCTTTTTAAAAATTAATTAGATTTCTTTTTCACTCACTGAGAGGACACATTGTGTTTCCAGAGTGACACTGAACCATTATGTAGCACTTCTTGTCAAAAAATATCTTTGTTGTTTTTTTAGCATTGTTTAAATATTGAGGAATAATTTCACTCCTCACAGGGTAGAGATGGTCTTTCTATTTGGGCATTACAGTGCTTTCAACATTTTGTAGCAATACTTAGTGAACATAAATTCCTCTAAATGTAGGGGAGGAAGAAAAAAAATAAGATAGTTAACTACTTTTCTAGAAGTCTTGTAGGTGTGCAGCTTATAATTACTAGTGACAGGAAAACAATGCTGTGAGGAAACCATTCAAAATTTTGGAATGTTTCTTTTTTTTTTTTAATTTTGAGCTTTGATCATATATGTATATACTGTATGGTTAGAATTACTCAGACAATAGTGGAGGTAGTGATATAGAAGCAGATACATCCACAAACCAGAAAAGGTGCTGATCAAGAGAGGAGCTTGCACCTAGGTCTGTGGTTTTCGAAATTTTTCTCCTGTTTGCATGGTTAAATACCTTTCCCAATCACCTTTTCATAAGTTTTAAGAGATCAGCTGAGTTTTACACTGGACTATTTCTTTTTTCCTTTCCCTGGAAAGGAGAACTACTACAATGGCCCTCTAGATGACTGAACTAAAATACATATTTACAAGGTATAAATGGTTTAAACAATACTTTTAGAATAATTTTTGAATGTGATTTGCCTTAGGTAAGCTCATGTATTGAATATTTAAAAGGAACATCAAGTGTGACATCTCATATATGTCACTAGTACATTTAAATAGATTTACAACATGCAAAGTATATTCTATTTCATGTGGAATTTGCAATATGGTATCTTTCTAAAATATTATAATGCTATTTAAAATCATGTAATCTGAAGAAGGAATATCCCATGTTCCACAGCCCTTCATACATTAGGATAAATACAGGATTTAAACAAAGAAAACCAAGGGGACATGAAGAAGCTTAGTAAAGGGAGGGAAAGGGCTAATGGAAAAGGCAAACATTCATCTGTGATGGGAGAGCATGGAGAGGATGGGATGTTTAATTTTACAGATAGGGCTTTGGGGCTCAAAATAGCCACACACATTCTGAAAAAAATGGCCTATTATTGTCTTCTAATTAAATGGTGTTTTTTCACTTTGTTTAACTTTGAATAATTTTCTGCCTTTTGTATCAGTTCATTTCATCTTTTCAGGTGCAAACATAAAATCCATTCAACTGATAGAATCTTTAAAGAGTCAAGTCTGACAAAGGAGGCATGTGGGAGACAGAGTTAGAGTAGTCCATGAGTTTAGAAGGAGGTGGCTCACCTATAGGCCTGAGAAGCAGGTATCACAGGAGCAAAACTTGTGTTACTTAGTGGTGACTAAGGAGATGTTCTTTGTTGCTTTGACTCATTAAATTAAAGCCGTATTTAAAGCTATAATGAACAATCACATTTATAGTTCTACAAAAATATCTTCTATCCCAATTTTCATAACTCTTCAATAGCTTTTTAAATTAATCTCTTTATTAATTGCATTTATAAAAATTTAATGGAAGCCAAAGTAAGCTTATATTACCTTGGCTTATTTGTGATCAGTCAGCTATTTCCAAGTCAGTGTGAATAGTCTGGTTAATTTAGGCCTAGTGACAGCATGTTTGCTTTTTTATACTTTTGCAGATCTTTTAGATGTAATCTGTGGACCACAGCTTGAAAACTGGTAGTTTACACTGCTACCAGTTCTGTTGCTGTGGGCTGCCTGTAACTGGTCTATGGTGAAACTCTGCACAGATTGTGATTAGCACTGTGAATTTGATTTAATATTTTGCCAGTTTTAACTTCTATAGGAAAAACAGTGATCTCACAAGGAGCATCTGCTCCGTGGTTGTAGAATACAGACCTGTTTCCCATGGCAGGACTTTTCAACATACTGTGGCCTGTTAAACTAGTTCATGCATTACCCAGTTACCTTGAGTGATTGACTGGTGTCTAATATTTCAACTGTTTCTATTATTGCAGGCATATTAAAAAGTGAAATCACATCATCTTGTGAAATCATACTGATACACCCTTTCAGTTAATGATGGAAAAAAGGACAGTGGGATTTCTTTAATGTGTGAAATGACACAGCTCTATCTTTTCTCTCCTTGGGAAGAGAAAAAGTGTTACTAGTATTTACCAGATGATGGAGTATATAGATTTTATAGAATCATTAAGGTTGGAAAAGATGGAGTCCAACCTTCGATCTAACACCACCCCATCAACTAGACCACGGCACTAAATGCCATGTCCTGTTGTTTCTTGAACACCTCCAGGGATAGTGGCTCCACCACCTCCCTGAACAGCTGTTCCAAGCTTAGCCACTCTTGCAGTGGAAAGATTCTCCCTGGTGTCCAGCCTGAGCCTTCCCTGGCACAGCTTGAGCCCATTTCCTCTTGTCAGTAGTTGCCTGGGAGAGGAGTTCAATTCCCATCTTGCTACAACTCCCTCTCAGGTAGTTGTTTGGGGTGATAAGGTTCATGTCTGATGTGAGAAAATTTCACTGCAATTTTTCTAAGCCAGTAACCATATTTGGAATATATATATTTTTTTTTATTTTTTTTTTTTAATTTCTCAGTCATTAATTTCTTTCTTGTAGGTAAAGAGAGGACAGTTCAGTCACTGAAAACATCAAGAGATGCATCACCTTCAGGGTCCACAGCAGTACCTCCATCAAAGGTGAATTTTCTTTTTGAGTACTTCACATTGGTTTTAGATTGTTCATTGCTGGATTTTTTCCTCAGTTGGAAGGAAATACTGCCTACACCTGTTTAAGTGCATATTCCTTATGATGTTATTTCCTATTCCTTACCATAGGAATAGGACTTGTTCTTAGAATTCTGGGTTGTTGTGAGTATGTTAGTATTACCTCTCATTTTGACACAGACACACCTGCCATGTATTCAGTGGGAAAAAACCCCAGGCTTTGGTTGTGCTATGTCATTCTAAGTGCTTATCTCTTACACATCTCTTTTAGAGCTGCTGTGCCAGCTGATTGCCATTGTCCTTGAGGGGAGAGGCAAGTGATGTATTTTCAGTGATGTAAATAGGGAAAATAAGATAAAAGTGATTATGCACAAGTTACACTGATTTGGATCATAAAATATACTTTATAATTAGTTCACTTATTTTGTTTTTAGACTCAGCACACTGCAGCTTAGTATCAAATCCTTACTTAATACACACCTTTGAGAACAAGGAGGCATTGCAAAATCTCTTGCTCTTGAGTTAATATACAGTGTGAGCTTGAGCTCTGGAAGTGTTCTGCTTTCTTCTTCAGTCAGGTCTGATTTGTGCTGTATTGGTTTTTTGCCATCAGTTTGCAAGTATGTGCTGGCAGTGGATATCCACTTGATACAGGCTATGCAAAATGAAACTTTGTTTGATGGGAGTCATTTCCCAGACATCATAAATACTTACTGGGTATGCATCAGCTGCAGAAATGGAAATACTTCCATGGCTGTTCATTGACTTTTCTCTTCAGCCCCCAAATCTGCTTATAATGTAACTGCCCTGTGTCAGTGGAGCTTTTTGGAATCAGCCTTTTGGCTGGAATTGCACTGAACAGTTAAGTTACCCAAGTGCTTCACTGACTCAGAAGTAGTGACAGAAGTAGTCTTGGCAAAACATGAACATCTCCAGAGCCAGAGTCTTACAATTTATCAAGGCTTGGGAAATTAGTTATATGCTATATATTAGTGATTAAAGGAGATAATTTTCAATGCTCTAAGTTATAATTTAGCTCTGAAATTCTTACAAAGGTACATGTTCCCATAGCAATACCTCTTTTCACTGTAGTATCTATTTGCAAATCTAAAAAGATATTTTTATCTATAATTATTTTTTGCCTGTTCATGCATATGAATCAATACCTGTTGATGTTACCTGATCTTAGCCACCTGTTTGACTATGGCATGGAATCTTTTGTGTTTTTCTTTATTAGCTCTATGGACTGTAAGCCTTGGAGGCTGTATACAACATAGAGCAGAAGGTGGATGTGTGAGACAGGAACAGCTGCTGAGCAAAGTGACAGCCTTTTGCTTTTCTATGTTCTTGATGAGATAAAAAATACAAAAAAAGAGAGACTTCTGTTTTTTTGGGGGTGGCTGGGGCAGCAGTTTAGGGGTTTTTTTATGAGATGTATTAGATTGGTTGTTTCTTGAAAGTTTGCAGCCTAAATAGCTGCTGCTATTTTCAACTGAGAAATATGTTCCTGTTCTGTCTCTTCAGCTGAAGTGTAACTGTGCAAGTACCATTACTTTATTCTGTAAAATTCACTCAGGATTTAATACGTATTTATAATATTCAACCTATAGAATTAAATTTAGTGAAACTAAATTAAACAGATTTTTTTTCTGTATTCCAATAGATATTAGTTAATTTCTTTTATGGCTTGTGGAAATATAGCAGGTTGTGTGAGATTTTCTATTATTATGTTACTCCTTTCTTCTAAGTGCCCTCTCCATATCCCTGCATATTCAATTTTGTCACCCCTGACTTCACTGGTTGTAATTCAGTAATTTGCAGTTATAGAAACAGGGATTCCTATTGAAACATTGTGTTGCACTTCTCTTCTGGATTCAGATAAAGGTGGTGTCTTTATGTCACAGAATCCTGGAAGGGTTCTGTGAGTTGTGTATTTATGCACAACTACAGTACAGTGGTATTTGGATAATATTTTCTTTGAGGTAAGAACAAAAGATGTGAAGACAAAGGAGTTTTGATACTGGCCATTTATATAACTTAGAATGAGCTAATGGTAAGAGGTGGAGTTTCTTTCATTTGGGTTTTTGTTTGTTTGCTTCTTTTTTTTGCCTACCTATTTGCTGAGATGGAACAGGCATGGGGTAGAAATTGTTATGGCCTTTTTCAGGTAGTAGAATTTTTTGTATCTCTTTTTCAGATACCCATCTTAGTGTTGCAATTTTTAATGCTAGAGTGATATAGATTCTTTGGGTGCTTCTATGCATATAGTTGATTTAAGCTAAATAGCCACATAGTGATAACAAGATTTATAAAGCTCGCTGTTCCTAGACTGATGTTTGCCATTGTCTGTTTGCTGCTCTGATAGTAAAAGCCAAATAGTATTCTTGGAGAGAAATCAATTTTTAAACATTATTAATGTGAGAATTTCCATTTGAAAAGGTAGATTTAAAAGAACATAAAACCATGGCTGACTCTATTCTAATTTATTAGCATTCCCACAATGCTATTCTCACAAATAGAAAATAGTGGATTTTAATGGAACCAGGTCTGATTGCTTAAACTTTGTGTAAAATATTTTTTCTCCCTAATTAGCTCAGGTTTTATACCCTACCTCATATTTAACAGTTTATTTAAAAATTTTTGCAACCTTTTATGCCTGAAAATCACACTGAATTACTAGTTCACTCCACTCTTGTATCTGACTTCTTTCAGTGCCCAACAGGTCTCAGAAATTTTTTCTGTTATCTCTAACGTGTGAATTTAATAAACCTTATTTGGAAGATATAGTGGTTTTGTAGTAGTCCACTGACTTTCACTGATTTATCTTTTTTTCCTCCTCTCTTGTTTCTTTTCTTTTTAAAGAAACTTGGCAGCAAATGAAATAATTTCAACTTTCTTGTTTCCTATTTTAAAATATTTTAGGGATTGGAATAACTATTTATTTTAATCTTGAAGATTTTTGCCATGTGTAAGTGTATTTCATGTTAAAGCTTGACTATAATGTTTTTGTACAGGCCTTGGAGAAGAGCAACAGACTATCAGAAAAGGAACTTGCAGAAGCTGCAAGCAAGTGGGCAGCTGAAAAGGCAGCAGAGAAGGCTGAGGAAAGCAATTTACCTGAAATAACAGAGTATGATGTAAGATAGGATTATTAATCCATTTATTTCCAAGTGTTACAACAATAGGCTCTTGTTTTTCTGTTCTTTTCATAAAGGCACATTTTGTAACTTAATCCTGAATTTTTCTGCCTATGCTATTAAATATTTGTTGCAAGGGAGTGAGAGGGAAACTAAAACCTTGCAATTTATTTCTTTTGAAAGAATACACAAAGCCACCGTACATTTTGTTAGTATAATTTGCCATGATGTTGAACTACAACTGACACAATACAGTTTCAGCTCTCCCAAGTGCTCTCCAAGGAGCTCTTGTAGTGTAGGTCTGTATGTCTACTGAACTCCTTAAAATTAGGAGAGGACTTTGAGTCAAAACATGAGTGTACATGTAAAACACAAGACTTGAGGAGAGAAGCTCTGGTTTGTTGAGTTCCATTTCAAGCTGTCCCAGCCTACCATGTCCTGTATTCTTTTTCAGAAAGCTGTCCCCCATTATATTTAAAATAAACCTTACCTTGTTACTGCAGTGGGTATATTTTTTATTTTCCCCAGAAGCCTTATTTCATTATTAATCAATGTTAATTATTTGCCAGTTTATTCTGTTTTGTTTTCACCCCTTCTTATCTTCCACTCCTGGCTGTATTGAAGTGAGATTATAGCCCTTCTCAGTCATTTGTTATACTGCTCTTGGATGGGATATCTTTTTTGGGTTCTGATAAGTTAGTGGCAAATGTATTTTTCATTTAAAACAACCCAAATATTATATTACTAATGTTATAAATACTCTGTTTCAATTCTGTGATATTTTTTTCTATAACTTTCACTTTGTTTCAACTTTAGAGGCATTCTTAAAAAAAGAAAAACAGTATCTACTTCACAAAGTTATGTCTTAACCTTTCCAATTAATGGGTTTGATTTTTTTATTTGTTTGTAAATAATTTTAGGGAAAATGGGTATGTCTTGAGAAGTATCTCATTTCCACTTGTAGAATATAAGGGCTAGGTTAGAGAAATAAGCTCAATCCATATTTATCTGAACTTTCAAGTCCTGCCCATTGATGTAATGGGTGAATGCATTAGCAGCTCCTCAGTAATGGTCAGGAAGATCTAGTTAGATATATAAACTGGAAAAAGCAATTAAAAAAAGAAAAAAAGGGGAGGAAGTGTTAGAATCAAGAAAAAGCAACAGCTGATCCAAAGATGAGTACCATATGAAGGAGAACAGATGCATTAACATTTCTGAGAGGTTCAGGAGAGAAATATCGCTGTGGTTCTTGATGAGGGGAAGGTAATGGAAGGGAGGAAAGAACAGAGTGGGCCACATGGAGAAGAGTTGTTTAAAGCATCCTCTGCACCTCAGAGAAAACTGCAGTGGCAAAAAGATTAAACATATGGAATCAAAGTGAAGCAATTGCAGTTGCTTGTGGTACAGTCTGAGATGATTTATTGACAAAGAAAGTGGGCTGTCGAAATGCTAATGAAGGAGGTCGGGCATCCCATTCTGAGTGTTAGAGGAAAGGATTTCTTACCTTGATTAGTAGGCTGTCACAAATGAATTGCAAGAATTCTGAACTTTTCCTGTTTATCTTACAAGTGCTTAATATTTGAACTTTGTGTTGCACTGAGCTTTTAGTAGGCTTCACTCACTCTCAGGCATTTCGTTCTTTACGGGGATAGCAAGATTTGGGATTCAGTCTTAATGGTTTGTGTTGCTGCTAAGGTTTGAGCATGTGTTTACAGGACTACTTAAGCTTTTTACTTCCTTTTTCTGTCTAATGCTTTTCTCTTTCATGTTAGTTAAGTCTTAAGATTCTTTACCTCTATTTTTGGATAAAAGAAACTAATTTTAATCTTCTTCAATTTTCAAATCTATTTAAAAAAATTATAAATTTGTTCCATAATACTGGATTGAAATAATTCTGTAAAACAGAATTGCTATATTTTCTAAATAAACTCCTTGGAGGTGGCATGTGTTTTCTTTGGAGTAGGAATATTGTCTTAATTTCTGTTTCAGAGAGAGAAATCTTCAAATCACATGTTTTCTTTTGCTAAACAATAGTTATTGCAATAATAATAATAACCTGTGGCCCTGAATGCTTCAAGAGTTCTCCAAATTTTTTTTTTTTTGATGCCTATGCTTTTGCTACTTTTATCCTTTCCCAGAAGACTAGTCACATTTTCATTGTGGATTTTTCTTGCTTTCTGGTGTTATAAATACCACATACACAAATTCCTTCTCAGTGGATGGGCAGGTAGAGGTTATCTGACATCATTGCCTGTACACAGTTAAGGCTGTGTCACAGGGGGTTTTATCATGTCATGTTTTCTATGTGTTTAAAATCTGTATTTCTGTGTCTGCTAAGATTATAGCAATAACACTTCACTAATAGTCTTGATGAGCAAACTCATGTATCTGATGACTGTGTTTGGGCTTTTTGGGTTTTTCCATCATACTGTGATTTTTATTTTTCTCTAAAAACTGAATTTATTGTTTTTTTCTTAAGGCTGGATCTTCAGCTCCATTATACATTGAGCAAACAGAGGAAACAGAGGCAAATCTAACAGACAGTACAGAATTATACGAGGACAGCCAGCTTCTAGGTCGTTCAAAAGCAATTGCAACTAAGACAAAGGAGATTGAACAGGTGAGTCTCTTTAGCATTTTGTCACTAATACACTAATGATTTGCTCTGCTAAAATTACCTTGATTTATTTTTTCCTCCTCCTTGGAGTCTAATATGAATATAATTTGATTTTTCAAGACTGTGTGGTATCATCACCAACAGTTTAATTCTGAAGAACCATGGCATTTATCTGCACATGGAAATTAATGGTAGTTTTCTGCAGCTTACATGCAGCAACTGCTGTTTTGCAAGCTGAGCTAAGACAATGACTGCCCCTTAATTCTCGTGGCCTTTGTTCAGTTGCCTGTGAGGCCATTTCCTGGGCTGCAGCACTGTTCCTTTTTATTGACACGTGAAAAGCAGCTATCTACTCTGTTGTTTTTGGAGTTTATTTTTTTTTTCTTCCCTTAGTATTGACTTTGCCTAATCATGTTCATGGTGGGCACAGCTTTCCATGTGTGTGGGGTCTGGCTGGGATGGAGTTTTACCAGAGTGTGCTGTAGCTATGGGAGCCATGATGCAGTTGGTTTGTCCCTGTGTGTCTGATCACAGGGTCACAAAGGGCCTAAAAGAGCAGGACCAGATGCATAAACTTAGGACTTTTAAAAAATGACAAACTGAAAAAAAACCACAGGCTAGGAAAAGATTTTAAAAAAATAGCTGTTGTGATTAATTAGCCTCATGCTGGTGAATGTGTGGTTAAATTTCCCTAGGCCCTAAGGACAAGGTTATAGTGAAAACGGATGAAAATTTGGTCATAAAACCGAAATACTGTTTTCCATATGATCTAATGCTACTGTGTGTGGTAGAGTTTGCACTTAATTCTAGGGAAATCTAGATTATGTTCTATAAAGTGAAACTTTTAGAAACTTAGTTCAGAAAAACCTGAGGAATAACTTAGGTCTGGACTTTGCACAACCAGTTTCTCCTGTTGATTTGAATATTGAAGCTGTCAGCTTCTGCAGAATTTAAATAAGATTCTAGAATGATGCTAGAAGTATTTTACGGAATTGAACAAGATGCTTATTTTCTTATAAACAAGGACTGTGAATTTGTTAAGAATTAGACAAGATATTTACTTAATCATTAAAAATTAAGACTGGAAAATGATCCACATATTTTTCACATAAATACTTAAAATTAACTTCTGGATCTGCAGTTAAATTTTCTGGATTTTTATAAAATTGTTGGGATAGAGTTGATGATTTTCATGATCACCATGAATATCATAATGAGTCATCATAATAAAATACTGTGAATCTTCCTACTATGTATGGAATCATATATAGTATAGCCTGTATACTATTCTGTTTACTTTGAGTTCTCAGGATCTAAATGTAAATTTAGCTAAACATTTAAATCTGTAAAGTGAACTGTAAGCTTGTACTTTTATAAGAAAGCTTTTTCATAATTTATTTCTGATTGTCTTGAAGATTCGAGTAATAACAGAATCATTATTTGGTTTGATGGACTTCTTTGCAGTTAAATTTCATTCAAGTGTTTAATGTAGTATTTCTGGAATGTAATTTAGTGGGAGGATTACTAAAATAAAATGCTGATTGCAAAGACTTATGCTGCAAGAATGGTGAAACTGTAATCCTTCTGCAAAGCAAGATTTTCAAGATGTTGTTTTTCAGTACACACTGGACAGCTAGCAAGATATTTAAAATAAGTAAGAAATGAAGTCAAGGCATGTGCCACTGGGTATGTGTTAAAGAATTGGTGAGGGCCCAGCTAATGTCTGAGGAAATGAGGTCTGACCCATTGAACTACTTCCATTTCTGTCTCCTAAATTTTTCTTTCTCTCAGAGCACCAGATCTAAAGATGTTTGCTTTTTGGTTCATATTTATCCTCAACCTGATTGCCAAGTATTTCTTGGCTCTTCCAGACTCCTGATAAAGTCCTCTTTGCTTTGCCCTCTCCATATCCATTTGTCTCCAAAGCTCTAACCTGGAAAAGGAACCAAATTTTCCAAATATGTACTTCATAGGAGGGTTCTATTTCCTCTGGGAAAACCCAGAGGCAAAAAAACTGTGCTGACAGAACATGCACAGTGTCGCAATGGGCAAATCCATTGCTGTGCAGCAGGGAAACAGGCAGTCTGATGCCCTGGGCAGGAGGGAGGTGGCAGCCTGTGATATAGTCTGTTTTTACTCTTTAAGAAAAGCAATCAAAAATATCCCTTGAGCAATTGAATGAAATATTCATACAGGTGTTCTGTTTTAAATGAGTCCATGGCAGTATCTTGTGTATCGCTCATATCACTCTTTTGTAAAGTTGCTGCTGCCTTTTCTCTCAGCTACAATAACACAATTGCCAGTTTCAGAATTTTAAATGATGTGTGATTGTAAGTGATCACCCTGGCTCATCAAGTAAATAGTTGTATATTATTTATTTGATGGGGGACTTACTGCAAACAGTCATGTAAAATCATGTCATTTGATGAAAAATTAAGTTCTTTGTGCGCTGATGATGACAGGGCAAAATGTGTCAAACCAAGGGCTAGTTGCTCTTTGCTATATAGTGGCTATCTTCTAGGAGTCTGCAATTACTTTGCAAATATTGACTGAAGCTGACACAAAGAGAGGAAACTAGAAGTTCTGCTCACGGATGAAGGCTTAGAAAAATCCAGACACTGCTTAAACAGAGCCAAGAATGATCTGTGTCACTCCCAAACTAGAAAAACTTTGAAGTATATATTTCATTTCAAGTGTGCCAATATTACTTGGAAAGGAGGGATATGGCTGCAGATGCACAGATGCTTGAAAATATTGCTGAAGTGGAACTGCACATCCTGGGCATTTTTTGTCTCATCTTTGAAACATCAGGCATAGTGACATTCTTGTGGAAACACCTAGGTTGCATAGGACTTAGCCCAGCCCATCTCCTCAAAACAGGGCCTTACATCAGGGCATTCAGGGCTCTGTCAAATTGAGCCCTGTGTATTTGCAATGAAAGAGGCTCCACTGTTTCCCTGGGCAGCCTCTTCGACTGTCTTGAGCTCTTGGTCTTGAGCTCAGCTGCCATCACATTCCAGAACATGGTTTCTTCCCACCAAGGACGCAGTTTCTGCTCACTACTTCTCCTGACAGCTTTCTGTCTGCATTCTTGAACTGCAGAATCCCAGCTCCTTGGTGTGGTCCCCTGCTTTTGGGACCTGCTCTGCTGGGAGTGGGCTCTACTGCTCTCAGGGAAGGGTTCATTTCCCAGAACCTCCTGGCTCTGACACTTCATGATTGGGAGAATAGGTTTTTTTCTGGCACTTGTGCATGGCAGGTACTGTGAAAATGGTTCCCTTCAATCCAGGCGCAGACTATTTTTAATCTTTGTTCTTCTGCATGCAGCGGAAATTGCACAGCATTAACGTATATCTCATATTTAATATAGCCCATGATGTGTTTTTTAATGTTTCGTCCTTAATTAAAAGCTTTGGAGAGTTTTGGTTGTTTTTTTTTTTTAATTTATTTTTAACTAGAATACTGAGATAATGAACCTTCTGGGTTGGGATGTTTTTTGATTGTTTGGTTGGGTTTTTTTTTGAAGTTAGGTGTTTCCTTAGGTCTTTGAACATGCATTTCCCTCTTTTCTTTGCTTTTACAATTTTGAAATTAGGTGTTAAATGTTGTCTGAGCATTTGCCTGAGCATGGTGAGGTAGAACCCCATGAAACAGATGCTTAAAAGATTGGTCTGGTTACTTGTAAACAGCATTGTAGTGAATTTTGCATCTGCATGTCAGGATCAATGAATGTCTATAGTTTGCTAATGTAACCATTTCATGCACTTTTAAAATATCTTTGCATTTAATGGCATGCATTACACATTAAGGTAATATTTTGGAGTTGTTTAGTTTCTGCTTTTATATAGTTAAGGATCAGCTTGTGCTTTTAGCATGTAATGTGCTGAAGTGTGGTGGTTTTTTCCGGAAGTGATGACAAATGTGTCCCTGGTGTTAAATTCGTAATTGGAGCTATTCAGCATCAGTGTTGCACAAAAGGCTATCTCTTTGTTCTTCCTTCATGAGCATGGGTAGCAGGGATTCTTGAAATGTCTTATCTTGTCTAGACATCAAGTCTGTAACACTGTGTTAATTAGTCCATTATTATGTGTCCACTTTTCTTACATGTTGCATATTCAAGTTGGAGTGACATGTATTACCTCTGAAAATCTATTCTTTTCTGAAGACAAATTTTACCAAATGACAATTTTACCAAGTACCCTCCTTGATTCTGTCAAAAAAATGAAACCTCTGAGTTTCTCAGTTTGGTTAGTACCACAGATTTCTGGCATCTAAGGAATTAATTAAGTACAGGAATTAATATATTCATGAATGCTTTTTTATTCTTAATGGGATCACTGGCTGACTGTATGCTTTCAGTTCATCAAGGTTTTTAAGTGTTTAGCAGAACAATATTTTTTAATGTTTAAACATTTAGTTTAATTGCTTCTTTAGTTGACATTCTAAATGAATATTGCTTGTATTAATGAGCTGTTGCCCTAATGGGACTGCCTTGTTGCTGGAAGATGCTGAAAATCAGAGATCTTTCTAAAGCTTGTGTTTGAAACTTCATAGCTATGGTGCATAGAAAGAAAGATAAATGGGGGTGTGACTAGGTCCAAGCTGTCCAAATTCTGTTTCCAGATCTGCTGTCTAAGTCCTTTTCTTTTTTAGGTGAATTACTGACATCTCTGACCTAGAGTTACAATTAAGTAAGAAAAACAGGTTTTAGCAGTTATAATGTGTGTGTGGAGTTTGAGAAGCGCTGTTCTGTTGTTCCCCTTCTTTGTCATAGCTCTTGTTCTGGTAATGTCTGTGTAGCAATAGCTGAGTTGTCTTTGTGTGTACTTGTTATGGGCCTCTATTCTCTGGAGATGCTGCTCTGAGAGAAGACTGACCTCTCACAAAGTGATATTTTACATTGAAAGGACGTTGTTAAAATTTTTGGTTTTAATATCAGCAAAACATGATATATATTTATATTATACAGGCATTTCTGTCATAATAAAATAACTACAGTTTGT